CCCCCTGCCCAGCCCTCCGCGCCCACCTTTGCCCACCTTAGGGTGGGCCCACCAGGGTGGCGGGCGAAGTATAATGCGAAAGAACCTAATTTCCACAAAAAAACTATAAATCCTCACCTGGCCCCTCCTTTCGCCCTCTTGCTGCCGGTTCTCCTTGCCGTCGAGGTCGAGCTGGTTGGGTCGCCGGTCGCCCTTCAGGTCGAGCAACGTGTTGAAGCAGCCGCGCACCGACACGATCAACCCGGCGAACACGTCGATGATGCTGCGCCGAAAGCTAAAGACGTAATTACCACTGTACATCAACTGAATACAAACATTTATAGAAAATTATGACAAAAAACAATTGGAAAAGTCGAAAAACTCACGCCTCACGCCCAAAAAGATCCGTTTCGCCGGGGTATCCATTTGATGAAAGTACGTCTCGAGCCGCGGAGATACACTCGCAGATCTACGAGCGAATAAAGTACGATCTGACAAAGTACCTCATTTTCGAACACATCCGGCAGCCCCGTCTTGCAGACGCCCTTGGAGATGAACTCGCGCTGCTGCCAGTTCTCTTTCTTCGACAGGTCGGCGATGGCTGCACGGGAAAAAAATTTATAAACAAAAAAAAGTAGTAAAACGCAGTTAAAAATTCAAAATTTTCCATAGCATAGTTATTACTCATTATTAAACAATGTGAGAATTTCAGAATTTCGAATTTCAAGAATTTTTCCAATCAAAAGAAACATTCTAAACTACATTTTTTACGATAGAGAGAGAGAGAGAGAGAGAGAGAGAGAGAGAGCGAGCGAGAGCGAGACAGAGAGAGGGGGAGGGAGAGAGAGAGCGAGACAGAGAGACAAAGAGAGGGGGGGAGAGAGAGAGAGAGAGAGACAGAGAGAGAGGAGAGAGAGAGAAAGGGGGAGAGAGAGAGAGAGAGAGAGAGAGAGAGAGAGAGAACGAGAGCAAAATCATACCATTAACGCCCTTGTCGACAATGTTGGAGACGGCCTTCAGCCGGACCGTCATACACAACTCCGTCAGGGTTGCACGTGCTGCGAGGTGAACTGGCACTCCAGCAAGAATGAGACGAGGCCCCTAAAAAAAATTTGAAATATATAAACGTAATTTTTATTCGTTTATTCGTTTTTATAGCGTTCCATATCGTGTTTTAATATATAAAAAACGCAAAAAAATAAAAAAGTTTGTCGTTTGTGATAGAAAATGCATGAAAATTGAGCAAAAACGTCAAACGTTAAATCTAAATAATTTAAATTCAAATTAAATAGATAAAAATTTAATTTAATCAATAGTAAACAAATTAAAAAATCTTTAAAATCCACTTACCGTAGCGCCTTCAAGGATTGAAACAGCGTGTTCCGCTCGATTTCCTTGGTGGCCTTGGGCCAGACGACGAACTGGTCGCCGTACTTCTTCATCACCTCGTCCGGTAACGAGTCGGGCACGAGCGCGTTCAGGAGAAGCCACGAGGGAGACGTTGATCGTCCCGATCAGCATTTGCTAAAGAAGGATAATTTGATACAACATTAGCATATTTTTACATTGACATCCTCGTGGGTCTGGGCCGAGCGATCGTCGCTGCTCGTGTAGTTCGTCACGAGTTTCCAGAAGCGCTGAAATTTTAAAGTTTTTAATTCGATTAAAATTTGAATTATTCTAAACGTAAAAACTTTACAAAATTTCCGATTTTTGGACCAATGTCGACTTTCAAATTTAAAAAAGATTTTACCTAGTTTTCCAATAAAAATACAGTTATATTTTACCAAAAACACTACTAAATACTTAGATTAAGTATTAAAATACAGTTATTAAAATAGATTATCAAATCCTACGTTTTAAACATTATTCTAAGCTTTGTAATACAGTTTTAGCAGTTTTTGACTACTATCTAGGCAATTCTAAATGACCTAAATAGTTTAGAAAACTAGTACTAAGTTTTTTAAAAGAGTTTGAATCAAATTTTAAAGTTTAGCAGTCTGAAAAAAATACCTGCAGCTTGGCCATCAAGTTCGAGACGGTTTCCGTGATGAATACTTGCCGATGGTTCGTCTCGACAACTAAAAAAAACAATAGAAAACGCAAAAATCGCAGACTCACTCAAGAAACGGCCGTTACTTCGCTGCTTCTCGTCGGCCATTGCTAAATCAAATTTCAGTGGATTTTTTAATAAAACTATACCTTTTTCGTGGTGATTCTTCTGGAGATTCCAGAGAATCGTGTCGAGGTGTTGGTGCGAAGAGGTGATGCAGTGCCATAGAGGATCCGAGTCCGGGTCGAGGATCTGAAAAATTCAGTTACAAACTTTAATGATTAAAAGATATCCTACCACATTTTTTAGCTATTTTTTCGTAAACGAGACAGCTGTAACAATACTTTCAGACAATTTTATCAACCAAATTTTCAATACAATTTTTGATATCTAAACACCTGAAAGCACATTTTTTTGAATCGTTAAAAATTAAAAAAGCCCACTTTTCGCCAAAGAGACAATATTTTTCCGTTTTGTTTACATATACAAATTTCGAAAGATGGAGTAAAAACACGCACAATTATGCTTCTTCCTTAGGTAACACGAAGGTCCGCGAAATTTCTTAGAAAACTTTCCCACCTTCAAGTACTTGATCATCTTGCTCTGCTCCTCGTAGTTGAGCTGAGAGTCGATGAGGCGGGTCGTCAGGATCTTTCTTGAAGTGCGCCATCTTCTTGTCGACGCCGGCCATCACTAAAAAAAGTTAAATTTATACACCAGCCGGTCAAGTTACCTTCTTTAAACAACGGCACGTCCGTCTCCGCCACTAAAGATCGGGCTCTCATGTAGTCGTTCAGAATTGTCGAATATTCACCCTAAAACGGTTTTAGTAAAGTTCGTTTTAGTCTAGTAAACCACAATTGAAATTATAGAAAATCAAATAATCACCTTGGCCATATTCTCGTCGATGGACTTGTTGAGGAAGAAGATGAATTTGAAGCGGGTGAGCACGGAGAGGGCATTCCGCGTCGAATCGGCCTTGTCCTTGCGGGCGAGCACGTCCTTGAACACTGTCTCGGCTTCCGAGCGAGCGTCTTTGATCTGGAAAAAAAGTTATAAAACGAGAAACCAAGAAAAGGGCAACACCTAAAATGTTGAAGCTCAAATTCTATCTAAAATAATACGAAAAGCGTGATAAAAATCAAGAAAATAGCTTGCTGATCGTGATCGAGCGTCCAAATTCACAAATTTATCAAAGTTTAAAATCAGATTAAATCGATTACGCTAGGTAAATTCAGGGGCGTCAAGCGTCCGAGGACGCCTATTTACGCATCAAATTTGGGAGCAAAAACTACAGAATTTCGCGTAGCTTTCGGAGCCCAAGGATCATCATGAAGTTTAAAGGGACTAACAGGCACGAAAATCCACCCCTTGCATCTACAAGGCCTCGACAGCTACGCGACACGCCAAATGACACCATGATCCTGAGTTTACAGCTTCTAGGAGCGCAATTTGCGCAAAAACCTCAAATAGTCGGCCGAGTGTTTTGGAGCGCAACGTAGCTGTCGAGTCCTAGTCGATAAAAGGGCAGATTCTCACATTTTCGAGTCACCTTCAACAAACGGCGCTGCTCACCTGGGTGGCAATCTGCTTGATGACGGCGAACTCGCCCGTCTCCTTCGCCTTGGCCAATTCGACGTGGAGGGCGGCCAACGAGTCGACGCACGAGATCAGGGAGTACAGGTTGGCCTTGTGCATTTCTTCCGTCTTCTTCACCTCGCTCAGCTTCTCGCGGTCGAGGTTGACGAGCCCAGCGCGCAGTTGATCGAGGCTAAAATTGAGTATCCTTTGAACACAAAAAAATGTAGATTTATGTTTTAAAAAACACAAAATTATCGCAAATTCAGTTTTTCCACATAAAATCGTTAAATCACAGTTTTCCAACGGAAATGTAGGAATTTCAGTTTTTCAAAAAAATCGTAGAGATTTGCGTTCAAAAAGCACAAATTAGCAAGAAAAACCAAACCTCGAGTCGAGATGATATTCGAGCATGTAGAGCTGCGGGCTGAAGCTCTCCATTCGAAGGTTACCTCAAGACGTATGGTATAATAGGCATAATCAATCAGATTTATGGTACTTTCGCATTATCGGGGGGATGAAATTTTTCCTAGGCGTCTAGAAATGCCGATTAACGTCAATAATTGATTTAATCCTATTCTTTGTAAAATTTAACTATATTCAAAGCGACAAAAAAAACAAATAAAAAATGTCGAAAATTTTTTGATGAAATTTTGGTCAGAATCGGCCCTTTTGTTCTAAAATCGTTATATTTAATTGTAAAATTGATAATTTTGTAAAAATTGTAACATTTTTATGTTTAGAGAAAGACATAAAAAAGCTTAGAAGCGGCAGCTATGATAGAAAACTCGGACCTTGAAAGAAGCTGCTCCCCGATATTGCGAAAGCACCGATATAATAGTTACAATAAATTTACCATAATTTTTTGTAAAAAAACCCACTGGAAGCATCCGGGTACTCCATCGACAAGTGGCCGATGTCCGCCTTCTTCGCGTTGCTGAGGCCGAGGGCATCGCGGTCGTCGAGGCTCGGCGCGACGTTCCGGATCGCCTAAACGAAAAAATTTAAAAATTATGATTTTTACGCATTTTCAAAGCTCAAGAAAAGAAATTAAAACGATAATTTTTTCAAACTGCAAAAATTAAAAATTTGAAATTTGGCAAAGGAGTTGATGTCGCTGCAAGAAGTTCCAAAATCATCCGATCACCTGCTCAACAAACTGGAAATCCGCCTAATGACACAAAAATGTCGCTGTAAGCTTATAACTTGTTAAAACTCACTTCACGCCCGGGAACCGTCTTCGTCTCGTCCACCCAAACGGCCGACTCTTCCAAGGGGCCGACTTGCGTGATGAAGACGCTGGAAAGATTTATTATGCCATTTTCCAGCGTTAAATTACAAAATTATCGTTGGTTCAAGTTTTTTAGACAATTCCCTTTTTGTGATTGCCTCAACGCACAAACTTTACAAATTTTTAGAATTGGAATCTATTTTTCGGCCAAAATCATCCGCTTTTAACTAAAATGTCGGCTTTTAAAGGCTTTTTATGTTTTTAGATACCTTTTCTAGTAATTTCATGCTTTTCTTTTCCCGTTTTTTACTACAAACACTCATAAAATACGTCAAACAAAACACTGCCAAAAATTTTGCCCCCGCCCCCGATAATGAGAAAGTACCGTAAAAACCTCATTTTCCCACGATTAGATAGATTTTTCTCACCGAAATTTGACGTTTGCCGAGCCGCGCCCGCCGGACCGGGTGGCGATCCGGATCTCGCCGAGTCCACGGCTCGCCTGGCCGACCCGTGCCACGATCTTCGACGGGGATTTCCACCCAAAGTCCAAAGTAATCGAAAAGTATATATATTGCTCACTTTACAGAATGCAGGCAATCGGTGCCGCAGATGAACAGCATGACGACGTCGTTGGCATCGTGGCCGAGGAACTCGCCCCGCAGCGTGATCTGCGTCCCTGAAAAAAATAGAGGTAAGGAGTGATGCGTTTTAGCCAATTTTAACAAAAACGTTCGTTTATTTGAAGTTAAAATGGTGGTATTTCACACTAAAACGTCTTTGAAAATCAAATTTTCGTGCGCAGTTTTTGGGCTGATTCCGAAAAGCGTTTTTCTTCGTCTTTAAAAGTTATATTCAACGTTTTTGCCACTTTTCTAGTTCTAGGAATTCTCCTTTAGCCGCGATTCGCTCAACTTTAGTTTAGTAGCGTATCTCGACTAGTATCGCTACTAGCGACCAAAATAGGAGTTCTCGGCCAAAAATGGGCCCAGAATGTCGCGCAAAACCAGCAGTTTAAGAGAATAAAGTTTTACCTGGAATCCCCTCGGTCGGCGACAAGCCTGACCACCGGGGGCCCCAAGTCGGGGCGCTCTCCGCCATCGAAATCTGAAAAGAGGAGAATGTTGCGGGGAAACGCCGGCCGGTGGCCCCAAGCAAGAAAAGGAGCAAAAAATCGGGGTAGAAAAGTGCAGAAAACTGAAGAACAGGCCGAAAAATGAAATGTGGTGAGAGGGAGAGGCGCGCGAATGTGCAGAGTGCAGATATATATAGAAAAATAGCGCGCCGAGGTGTTGAAATCTTTTACAAAAAGTTCTTTTGCCTTTTATGGGGGAAAATAAAATTTTTGTATACCTCTAGAAATGGGTGTCAATTTCATAGAAAGTTTTTTAATAGTCTTTTTTAGTAATACAAAACTATATTTCACCTAGAAAACTATCTAAAAATTCAACAATTTGTCCAAACCTCGTAAATTGGGTGAAAAAGGGAATTTTTGGTCGAAAACTATATTTTATCTATTTTTAAAACGAATTTCTATCGTTTTTACGTTTAGGAATAGTAAAAAAAAGTTTAGAAAGCTTTCGCTATTTATACTTAAAAAATTGGACTCTAAGAAAGACATTTTTGTCCTTGCTGGTTAATGCGAAAGAACCAAAACAAGTTCATAAACTGAAAAAACAACGAAAAAGTGCCCGATCCATGCAGTTTTCGCTTTACGGCTCGAAAAACGGATCCGAGAGCAGTGTGGACGGAGGTGCCGGGCGGCGGTAGACGGCTTGGAACCGACGAGTACGGCCGGATCATGTTGGTTTCACGCTAAAATTGCTAAAACCTAAAAATTACTTTTATGGATTAATGCACAACGTTAGTACGGTGCCGGCACACACGTTCACAAAACGGCACACAACGAGTTAATGCGAAAAAAAGCAATTTTGTGAGTGTTTTGGGCAAGTGAAAGGCTAAAAATTACTTTTGAAGCTAGATATTTCTAGTAAATCAAAGGTAAAAGTGTCTAAACAATAAATAGTGCATTTCGCCTAGTTTTTAGACCTAAAAAGAGAAGGTTCTGAGCTCGAAGAGATATATTTCCAGGCAATGGCACGCAAAAGAACATACAAAAAGTTACAAAACACTTTATTCGTTTTAGACGCTCAAAATCCCTAATTCTAAGCTCCAGTAAGCAATTTGCGCTCTAAAATTCTTTCTAGAAACCGGTTGTTGCTAAGAAAACACTGCAAAAGCAATGTAAAAAAAACTTAGAAATTCTTAGAAATGGCAGCTTTCCAGCGTTTTTTGATCGTCTCAAGGCAAAAAAGCTAGTTTAATAACAAAAAACATTAAAACGATTTTTCCACGAATTCTCAACTTTAGTAAACCGGTTGCATATCGTCCTGTTTGACGCTCAAAGCCACATTGGTAGAAATATGATGCTATTTTTAGTATCAAGATCTTAGAAAGGTAATTTTTCTAGTTTTTAAAAACACTACTTGAAGCCAATCAACCGTTTTTAATCGTCTTGACAATTTAAAGTTAATTTTTAGCGATTCTAAGCCTTAGTAAACAGTTTACAACGGCTGTGAAGCCGAGTTTGCCCTTCAAACCATCAGCAGTGGAAATACAACCTATTTCTAGTGTCCTTAGAGCTGGAAATTTCAATATTCTACTTTTTTAAGAGCCGTTCAGAAATTAAAATCGGTTTTAAGCAATCCTAAGCTTTAGTAAACAGTTTACATATCCTTCTCTGAAGCCGGGGTTTGCCCCTGAAATCATCGTCGTAGTGTGTGTTCTCTTGGGGGGTGTGGTGCTTTGGCGGCATGTGCGCCCTATAGCAAACGCCTTTATTCCCATCCTCAAAGCACCGAACGACAAATGTGCTCGAGCTCCACGAGCGATTGGGCCGCGAAAAACGTTTTTCGCACCTCGTCGGCGTTTATTGCTGAATTATACGAAATTTAGTATTAAATTAAACACCCCCAGAGGAAATCTCCTATCTAAATCTTCCTATAAATCGAGAAAAGCGTAGTAACGTTTTAGTAAGTGTTTTAATTGTATTTTTAGCAAAACAAAACTCCATTTTAACTACAAAAACTATCTAAAAACGTTGAAATTTTTCCAACGGATTAATTTTGGTCAAAATCGGCCATTTTGGTTCAAAAATCTATATTTTTGACATTTTTTCTAAAGATTTTGTAACATTTTTACCAAAGGATCGCGAGAAAAAGTTGCCCCCCCCCCGATAATGCACAAGAACCGAATATCTTTAAGCTAAACTCCCCAAAATTTTAGTGCCAATTTTCAAACCTGTAATATTCGTCAGGAGCGCCACAATTTGTGCTTGTCGACTTGGGTCTTGCTTGGTCGTCTCGAGGAACAGGGCGGTCGCCTGGAAAAAGAAAAATAAGTAAAGAAAATAGAAAAACCTGATGCTGTACGTTTTTGATGATGTGCGGCTCTTCGAAGCGTCCATCTTCTAAAAGGAGTGAGCATTTGGGAATTCGTTTTTATAACTTTAACTTTTAAGGATTAGTTATCTATATTTTCTATACAACAAACTTTCTATACAATTACATTCGATTTTTTTTATATGTACATCTTTTTAAAAGCTAGCTTAACGTAGTTTTTAGTTTAAATCTAGTTTTTTAAGGTTTTAGTAGCGTTTAAAATGATGAAAAACATAAATTACTACTTTAAAGTCCAATTACAGTAATGAAGTCCGGCGAGACAAAAATATCGTATACTTCTTCTTAATTAAATTTTAAGCAAAAATTTTACTGTTTTTCGTAAAGCTAAAGCTTTTACGTTACTTCTAAAGGTTAAGTAAGTCTAAACTTTAGGGTTCTAGCAGATTTTAAAACGATGAAAAACATAATTTAAGCGTTAAAAATCGAATTTTCGACGTATGATAATCGCCGAGATTTAAACGCTAAAAGATACGCTAGGCTACGCTACGCATAAAGTTTACGGCTTTGGTTTTACAGTTAAAACGCTTCAGTTTAGCAAAAAAAACGCTAAAAGTACAAAGTAAGCTAGTTTTTGAAACTTTAAGGTTTTAGTAGAGTTCAAATGTTGAAAAACGTAATTTAAGCGTAAAACGTCGAATTTTCGACGTACCAGCCCGAAACATGATAATCGTCGTGATGGTCCACTGCTCGAGGGCGCTGAGCCCGAGATCGGCCACCGTTTTGCCGAGTAGTCGTATCCGTTCATTGGCCGGCAGCTCGGTCAGCTTCGTCTTGCCCGTCTTCTGCATGATGTGGGTGAGGAAGAGCGAGTGCCACGAGTTGTAAAATAGCACCTAGAAAGGGCTCGTTATTGTCGCTCAACCTAAAAAAACAGCTTTTGGAGCTTTTGCAATACCGGGGGGGGGGCAATTTTGTTCTTATAAGTTCGGATATCACTAGTAATGTGAAAGCAAGTATTCTAATAGGTTTTTGGTAGATTTAGCTACAATTAAAAAGTGGCAAGCTATTTAGAAAACCTAGAAAAATGCTTAAAAATTGAAATTTTGTCCAAAATCGGCCATTTTCGTCTGATTTTTCTAATATAAGCCGTCGAAGAAGTTTTTCTACACTGTTTTTACATGCCTAAACGTGAAAACCTTTCAAATTTTAATTAAAAAAATACCAAAATCACGATTTTTCGACAAAAATAGCTGATTTCGAACAGATTTTCGCATTTTTAAGTTTTTTTTGATAGCTTTTCTAGTTGAAAAATCGCTTTATTTCACTAAAAACACAATTAAAACACTTCCTACCAAGTCACTAGACATTTTAATACCTATACAAAAAAAGTTCGGTACCCCCGATAATGCCCAAGAACCTTAAAAATGGTTTATTGCTGTTGGTATTATATTTATATTAGAAAAATCGGATAACGAAAACAGCCCCCACCTGATATTGCAAAAAGTCCCAAATTTTCTGTCAATTTAAAATTCCCTTACCCGCTTGTCCTGGGCGTTCAGCTGGGAGATGGGCGGGACGACGGCACACCAGCGGACGACGGACGCGAGCAGGGCGACAGATTGGGGTACTGTAGACGTCCCTACGACCGACAACAGCTGACGGATGGTGAAGCCTGAAAAACGAATTTTCGACGCCTAAAAAACAACCAACCTGTCTCTTTGTTCTTCAGCTCTTTCGTTAAATTTGTAGCTACCGTCACCATCGTGTAGGGGACTCTAAACATAGATTGAAAGCTTTTAAATAGTTTTAATAGTTTTTAATATTTTATCGTATCTTCGTTTTTAAATTTCTCTAAAAAATCTCTAAAAATTAAAATTCCAAACTAATCTTCTTTTTAAAATCACCCGTTGCCATGTATCCAAACGTACTCTTCAATCATAAAATCGCCGCTTTTCCGCTTCGGCGGGCAGATGGAGCGCTCGTTTTGGACGGCTAAAAAGTGGAAATGGCGGAATACTGTAGCTCGAGCTCACCATGCCGATTCATCTTCATATCCAGACATTTCGAAAAGCGGCAAGCCTGAAAGAAAAGGTGGTTCTTTCGCAGTATCGGGGGGGGGGGGGCAACAGGATTTTTCTCTAGAATTCCAGAAATGCCTAGTCATGTAAAATTAAATATTTTTGAATATTTTTAGTAAAGTTTAACTATGTTTCAATTGAAACACAAACAGAAAAAACTCAGAAGAAATTATTTCGTTGAAATTTGGTGCAAAAATTGGCCATTTTCGGTCGAAACATCTTTTTTTTGTATTTTTTTAACGAATTTACAAAGTTTTTACGCTTAAGAATAGTAAAAAAAAACAGTCTATTAATTATTATTTATTTATTTTAGAAAAAGTTAACTCCCCCCGATAATGCGAAAGAACCGAAAAAGGACTTAGGTTTAGCTTCGGCTTTGCTTGGCTTAGCTTCTTAGCTTAGCTTTGACCCTAAAAACTATCTAAATTTCAATAATACTCTTCTACCGTGGCCTAACCCCCCACTTTTCCACACTGGCCTTCGTAAGCTTATCCGGGGTGGCTTTCCGGTGCGGGGGCCCCCAGGGGTTTAGGGCCCTCAACTGGGTCCCATTGGGTCCCACGGGGTCCCGCCCGGGGGCCAGGGCTACGGTAGCGGATTATCTGGGCAAAGTCGCCCAAAGAGCCATGGGAGCGCCACCAGTTAAGGGGAGGAGGAGGAGCAGGAGGAGGAGGACTCATAACCGCTTCAAGCTCTCCGAAAGATTTCGGAGCGAAAATAGTCAGGGGTAGCGGTAGTTAAAGCCAGCTTTACGGGCTTCATCAAGCCTTAAAGCTGGTTTTCAAGCGTTTAAAGGATTCACAGGACTTCAGAAAGCCGTTTTTTTACAGCAGCTGAACTTTTTTCCTTTGTAAAATAGATAAAAGGTTCAGAAAACCGTTTTTCGAGCAGAAATTCAGCCTAAAATTTTATGGTTTTTGAGGAGGCCAAGTTTTTTTCTGAAGCGTCAGGTTCACCTGGTAATAAAATAAAGTATTTTTATCTATTTTTAGCAAGCTTTAACCATATTTTAAGCAGTAAAACTTTCAAAAAAAGTAAAGGAGGGTTTTAAAAGACGGAAATTTGGCAATTTTGCGTCGAAAAAATCCATTTTTCGACCAATAATTCAAATTTTTGATGAACGTTTGTAAACTTTTTATGCTCGGGAAAAGTTAAAAACAACGTACAAACGCATCCGCTAATTATATAAACAAAACGAGGTTTGAGCCGAAAAACTTAGGTTTTTGAGAATTCAAAAAGCTTTTTATCCATTCAAAATTATCGCAAGCTTCGAAACAAAATTATTTAGCTTTTTAATCGGTTAAAAACGTTCGAATCGAATCATTTTTGGGCGTAGAAAAGCGTTTTAAGATTCAAAAAATTAGCCATTGCTTTTCAAGAAGCCGTTTTCTTACGAAATCTTTGCAAAAATTATTATAGCGCGATTCCGCAATCGGAAAGTCATTTGGAGACTGATTTCCGGTCAAAAAACGCGTACCTGACACTGATTCCGGCGCACAACGTCCACCACGCACGCGCCGCCCTCCTTGCAGCTGTAGACGAGGTTCCGCCGGATCGAGCTGGAACAAGAAATCCATAAAAACGACAGAAAAAAAATGGTGTACCGCTTGAAGAAGCCGCGGCATCCGTCGCACGACAGCACGCCGTAGTGGCGGCCTAAAACAAAGTATTGAGGTGATCAAAAACTTTTTATAAGTCTGGAAATGTCTATGAACTTAATAGCAAGAGTTTCAATAGTGTTTTAGTCAAAAATCACTATATTTTAACTAGAAAGACGATCTAAAAACCCTAAAAACGTTTAAAAAAAGCGAAATTTTGGCCCGTTTTTCGAAAAATTGACATTTTTAAGGTTTTTTACTATATTTTAACTAGAAATACTATTTAAAAACTAAAAAATGTTTTAAAAAAGGCAAAATTTTGGCCAAAAATTGACCTTTTTGATGGAAAATCCTATATTTTTGACATTTTTCAATAGAATTTTGTAAAGTTTTTACCTTTAATAACAGTAAAAAGTGGTTTAGAAACATTTCCGCTTTCTATGCCTAAAATAGATCCTCAAAACCCCCCCGATAATGCACAAGAACCGATAACTACGGCTTAAAAACAAACCCGATGCTCGATCCCCACACACCACGCACGGCACCTCGGATTTCAGGATGAGGCCGCTCATTTTGTAGGATTTTAGATGCGATTTCAAAAATTTCAGAGACAAAGCCGTTTTCAGAGCGGAATGTGCCGTGTGAATAGACGCCAAGGGCAAGTTGCTGTTTCACAGGATGCGGCTAGGGAAGAATGAGGAGCAAGAGAAGAGGGCACTTTTGGAAAGAAGAGGTTGGTGGTGGTGGTGGGCTTTTGTCGAGGGGCCAGGGCACCGTGGGAGTCGAAGCGGATAGCATTTCCACAAAGCACCCACAAACGGCACGGGGGGGCCATCTTTGGGCCCACATCCAATTGCCCATATGGAAGATATCTTTTTCGGAGTATAATAGCCAATTTGTAAAGTCAATTTGAAACTATATCGACAAGCAGAAATCGGCGTTTTCAAATCAAAATCGTTACAAATCACACCCGAGATTCCGAAAAAATCGCTGCTAGCCTGCTCCAGTTTACCGCTGATTTAAAAGCATGGATAACTAACAAAAAAAACCTGTAGCCTGATATTATATGCTCTGAGAAAATGACGAAATTTCCTCTGATCGTAAGTTTTTTTGTAAACTTTCAATAGGTTAAAGTGGAAAGACAATAAAAAATGCTTTAGTTAAAATGTTCACCGAAAACAAGATATTTTTGTATTTTTAGATCGAAATTTGTAAAGTTGTTAGTTTAGAACCATTCTTAATCAAATTTTCGTCGAAAGCGATATTTTTGTTCTTTCTAAGGAAATTTTGTCCAGTTTTCTGGGTTTAGAAACAATAAAAACGGTTGGAAACGCTCCCTCTATTTCTATTAGAAACACCGGGTCCTTGTATAATGCGACAGAACCCAAAAATTATAGAAGATTTCACCTAAAGTGCTACTCTCACAAGAAATTATTTAGGGTATTCAATCGAAAAAAAAAGTTATTTTATGGTTCCCCAAAGACCTCTGCCAGCCTGCCAGCCGATTTAACCGGAAGTAGAAGGATAACTACCATATAAAGTGATATTATTAAATTCGGAAACTGATCACGTTTCCACAAAGATCTCTGCCAGTCTGCTATCGGTTCAAAATCTGGAAGAAATTAAAGAAATGAATTAAAGCAAAGAAAATCGATTCTACTCCTCGAATCCCAAAGGATCTTTGCTAGCCTGCCATCCGTTTAAACCCTAAAATGAAAAATAAATTAGAATTCGGTTTTGAAAACAATTTATTCCGCTTCAGAAAAGCACATCATGAAAGACACAGTTGATATCAAACGCGCCAAAAAAATGCAGAAATAAATACATTATAAAGACTAGGGGAGCATTACAAATTAAGAATATTGCAGCTAACAAAATACCCGTAACCATCGATTTTTTAGGGATAAAAAAACAGCAAAAAATCGCTAATATATTTAGATGAGGGCGGCCTCGTATTCGAGGCCGTACTGCTCCATCGAGTCGACGTTGATCTTGAACACGCCTGGAAGGGTTTTTAATGATTTTTGTTGCTGAATATTTGGGTTTTAAACGTCTGAAAAGGGTATATTTAAACTATAAAAATTACTTTTATTATTATAAAAAGACAGCAAATTGAAAAACTCACCATTATCACCCCAGTTGCGTCCGAAACTATTAACACAGAGCCAGTAGTGACTGCCATCCTTGTCTTTGCCCCAGCCGATCAGCCGAGCCACGTGCCTAGAAATTTGCGATATTAGTGTATTATTGTTCGTTATTTTTTTTAAGATTTATTTAGTATTTACGAGAATAAAATTCTAGAATTATAAATAACAATCGAAACAATTAAATTTTCGCCATTTACAAATTCACACTGAAAGAAACAACATTTACAAATTTACATACGCCTACCCTTTTTAAAAATGACAATTTTCCGAAAACGTTCAATTTTGGCCGAAGTGCATGAAAAAACGCAAAAACCGGTTTGAATTGTAGATTTCCATATTTAAAAACAGAGTAGTAACCGAAAGCTAACACAGGCACCTTAAATTCTAAAAATCTATTATTACTAGGCGTTTCGAACTAAATTATAAAATTGGTGTCCCCCCGCTAAAAGCAAAGTACCGAAATTTAGTATTTAAGCAAACTTTCATATGTTACTTTAGGAGACCTACTGCTGCTACTACCGACTTACCAATACACGACGCGGTCGTTGAACTTCTCCTCGGTGATCGGGCGGAAAACGCCTGAAAATTATTGTTTGACGCAAAGTATCGGGCAGTCGTGTTATTTTTGAGTTATTTTTGAATTGTAAAAACCTAAAAATTCTTTGAACTAACCTTCGGAGTAATGGAGAAACTCCTCCGGCACCGGGAAGGCCATCGTCGTCGGGCCGTAGAGGAACAGCTCGGTTTTTAGGATTGTGCGGATCTGAACCGAGCACAATAAGATACGCCATAAAATAAAAATAACGAGCAACAAAAAAATACATCTTCCAAAAAACACCAACGGCAAAGAAAAATACAAATTCAATGCTTTCCGATAGGGCCGGCTAGCAGAGATCCTTCGCCAAATCGCTACGCCAAGCTCCAAATTCCGTAATTTCGGAAAGGCCGGAAGCCCCGATTTTTTAGAAAGATTTTACCGAAATAGAAAGGTTTATCGATTTTTTTATAGAAATCTCACCGGAAAAACACAATATAGATCTTAGGCTTAGGGCAGGCTAGCTGAGATTCTTTGAGAAGCGATTTTTTGGCACTTCTCGAGCTAGATTCGTCAAAATCAAGTTTTTTTTCCACGGGAACAGGGCAGGCTAGCAGAGATGCTTTGAGACGCGAGGCCCTTTTTTGGCAGTTTTCTATCTAGCCTAGCGGTTTTTTTGCCGACACGGCAGGCTAGCAGAGATCTTTTGCCTAGCAGAAAACTTTCTCCGCGTTTTGCCAGGCGCCAATTATGATATTGTTGTCAGAAGTCAAGACTAATAACCCCTTGGAAAATGACCTCCTCGAGCGTGATGGGCTCCTCCATGGTGCTGTTGATGTGGCCGATGATGGTCGGCACTTTGCCTCTCCTCTTCCCATCATCCGACAGCGTCATCCCGCGCGGGTACATCGAGTAGGCCACCGAAGCTGCAAAGGAAAGGTTGAAAAACGCTGTGACGCTATGTAGCGCGATAATGAAATTTTTTCGTATAAGTCCAGAAATGTCTACGAACGTAATAGTATATTTCATTACTGTCTTGGTAAAATTTAACCATCACTTAAGTGAAGAAAACAATTAAAAACTCCATAAAAGATTTTTAGGCGAAATTTTGATCGAAAAATCGAGAATTGTTCAATTTTCCTATTAAAATTTGCAGAGTTTTTACGTTTAGGAATAGCAAAAAAGAGCTTAAAAACATTTTATCTATTTTATATTAGAAACAACGGATACTCAGAAAAAAGGCTGCTCTAATTTCACTTTATTATAATAAATTTTACATATAAAATTACACAGTAAAACTGAAATTAAATTAAATTAAAATAAAGAATTCACAAATTATAAAATCCGCGGCTTTTTGACCAATTTAGCTGGTTCAATTAATTAAATTAAATTAAAATTAAAATTAATTTAATTTTAGCTTTAATCACATGAAATGGGAAAAGAATTACGACATTTAATCCCAGGGCGCACGAAATTCAGATTTTCCGCGGTGATTAGCCCCTTTAAAGCCCCACAAACTTACCGTAATTCTTGTCCTCCTCGTACTTGTTTTGGTAGTAGATGTTCTGGCACCGGCGCACGCAGCTGCGGCTTCTAGAGGAAAAACGGGGTAAGCAAAGAATGATAAGCAAACTTTTCATTTTCCGGGAACACCACGGGCGAGCAGGGCACACCGCACGAGATGTCGAACGAGTACGGCCGACACCCGTCACGACCGCCTAGAAGATGAGGGGTTTAGCGGGAAAAATTGCGTTTGATTACCTGTAACAAGACCCTCTTGGACCCAGTAGGTGAGCGCCTTCAGCGGGTCGCCGCCAAGGCAATTTCCGCAAACCGCGCAGCACCCTAAAACGCGACAATAAACGGGAAAAATGAGATCAAAGGTTTTCCTGATTTTTGGAAAGGTATACGATAAAGGGAAAAATGAGATATTCTCGGTTCTTTCGCATTAGCGGGGGGGGGGGGAAGACAAATTTTTTATTAGGAATTTTTTGTTTCATTTTCTCTTTTTTCTTTCTAAATTGGTTCTAAACTGTTTTTTTATTATTCCTGGACGTAAAAACTTTAGACATTTTGAAAAAGATAAAAAAAATATTGATTTTTCGACCAAGATTTCGCATTTTTGAAAATGTTTTGAAAGTTTTTAGATAGTTGTGTAGTTAAAATATGGTTTTATTTTACTGCAAATTATGTAAATACTTCCTATTAAGGACTAGGCATTTCTAGACTAATACAAAAAGTTTGTACCACCCCCCCCCCCCTCGTTAACGCGAAACAACCCGTTTTCAAAGCCTAAATTAAAATTACCGAGCACGTCCTCCTCCGAGAAGAGCGACTTGTAGGTGCCGTTCGACTGGATGCACGCCCGATCGGCGGCCACGCCCACCGCAGCAACTGCCTGGAAAAAAATGTTATTATTCGCTAAAAACGCGCACTAAACCTGGTACTGGACTGTTAGCGGGGGGGGGGGGCAAACTTTTGTTTTTCGCCTATTGAAACCATTGAAACGTTGATAATCACCAATGAATTTTTCTGGTGTTCTTAGTAGTTTCTGATAACTAGAAGTTGTAAAAACTTGAAAATTTTTGACCTTTTTTCGTCATTTTTCATACATTTTCGACGAAAAAGACTCGCTTTCGCAAATTTTTATAAGGTTTCTTTCTCGAAAAACTGCATAAAGAGGCGACAAAAATGGTCATATTTCGTTTTTCGGGCCGTACGGGATTACTTGGAAAAATTTGGTCCCCCCCCCCGCTAACACGTCAGTACCCTATCACGTGAAGAAATCAAACAATTTGACCGCTAAAACTCACATAGCACGATCCGCAGCCGCCCTGATTCGGCACATTCGAAATGGAGGGGCATCCCGGCCATTTTTGGCGCGCGTCGA